CGTTACGGGCGGGCACGGCAATGGCGGCGCCGCCCGGCGCGGGGGCTTTGCGGGGCACAAGGCGCGCTCGGGTCGTGGTCCCGAACCAGCGCTGCCCGGGACACGGCGCGGGGGACACTGCGGATGGGGGGGGGGAATCGATTCAACCCCAGCTCACATCTGCAGATCCATGCAAGATCACTAATCAACTACTGAAACTTCATAATGAAAGAAACGGTGATCTATTCTGTACAAGACAGGCCACTAATCTAGTTTGTTAGGCATTTAATATTGCCATCCAATATCTACTGTTCTCACCTGTGCACAGTAAGAGTTTTCACTAACACATTGTTCATGCATGCTAAAATTCATTTACACAAAGGTAAAAGTAATTTGTTTAAAATGCACTTTCATATCCTTTAAAGTTGTCTTCGCTCCTACCTTCTGACATGCCACCTTGAGTTATATCTACAAATCTTTCCTTATAAGAATCACTTTAGTCCTTGAAGCCTTCAGCAATCCTTATTTTGCTTTGTTGTCTGAATAGAGACTTTAAAAATAGTATGGATTTAACAAAGCACCACTGAACAACTGAACAAAGAGCCCAGAACTTAAAGGTTTGGACCAGATGACCTCTAGAGCTCCCTTCCAACCTTCAGCATTCTATGATTCTAAGGTAAATATTCTTAAGGATCATACCTGGATTACTGTTCTTTATACTTACCTGTATAAGTTCTTCATACTTACCTGTAAAATGTAAATCCCTTAATCCTGTGGTCTAGATGAATCAACAAAGTAGGACAAAAAGTAGCACCTGCAAATGAAATCACTGTTCTGAGTAACCTGAGTGACCCAAGTTCCTGCAAATTTGCAGTCCATGTATTAGCACATATTGCCCCTGCACTGCAGCTGGGGCACAATCTGCCAGCTGGAACCAGCCCCTCCTCGGCAGCGGTGGACAACGTACCGGCTTCCCTTCCTTCCCTGGGCTCCATGGTCACACAGACAGCTCAAGAGCCAGCACTGTTTCTGCGATGTCTCAGATACTGCACTGCAGCACAGGAACATTTCTCAGGGTGGGGAGAAGGGAAAAAGTACAAAAATATATGATCTCTAGCTCAAAATGCTGTTATTACTGATTTTTATGTGTCAGTCGTCTGCATGCTGACCAGACTGCAGTCAGGTCTCAAACCTAGAGGTATAACTTGGCAAGAGGGAGAATATAACTATGTAACGCTGTACAGTGGGAAGAGGCAAGAAGTATTTTCACTCATTGGTGAAACAACCGGACAATGTTGAGTCCAAGCACACACAGAAATCTAATGAGCAAACATATTTGAGCAAGAAAGATTCTCCTTATCACTGACAACTCCTTCCATGAATTACAAATACCAGTCAGAGAGAAAATGCAGTACTGGGTGCTTCCTTTGGACCAGCCTCTTGAAGGGTGATAAGGTATTTTTTTCCATGATCTTTACCAACTACTTGTCTTGGTATGAAAACATGGATACCTTATTTTTGAAAGATGATTACATTAGGTCAGTCATTTGATAAAGGCCTTTACTGCAACAGATAGGAAAGGGCATGTGTAGGACCCTGTATTCCATAAGACTGCAGTATTTCCACAGTTTCATGGTTATGGGAATAAAGGAGTACCAACTACCAAAACTGATCTCAAGCTTCTCTGCATGTTCAGAAGAGTAAAAAGCTCAACTTCATAACACATCAGGTTAACAGAGCAGCAGGCCTGCTAACATCACGTCACTGAGACGAGGCTGCTGCTAAGATGTGATGGAGTGCTAAAACCATACCAGCACCATGTCCGGATTCCAGATAAAGGTTATGGATGCTAAAACAGCATCCAAGGGGCAAAAAGAGGAATTTTGATTCCAGTTATATCCTCTGGAAACTGAACAAGCTGAGGATGTACATTCTAAAGCTAATTACAAAGATGGGGCTGTCTAGTGCTCAAAGATGTTTCTGCTGAGAGAGACAAGTCAGACTGGTTTTGGCCAACAAAAATGGGGGTGACCTGGCAACTTTAAAGAAAGGATAAACAGAAAATACGACAAAAGACTGCTTGAAGAAAATGATGCCAGCAGAGAAAATAAAGCTGGGCTGCTGGGAAACAGCATGAAAAAGGTGTCTCACTGGAGAGTTCAAAGGACTTAAATAGCAGCCAGCACACTCCACCCTGTGCATTCATTTGCTAAGCATGGCATGGGACTGCGAGCACACCTCGAGGGAAGCACCTATGGAGAGAAAAAAAAACATCTCCAGCTGCAGAACAAATCACGTTATCATATCCCCAGCATTACGTACAAGCAAACTATTGCTTGCTGATAGAGCAGCCTCTGTTTCTGTGCTGACAACTTCAAAGTTGGCATCATTAGTGCATCAGATCAATATTTAATTTGTCCCATACCTGCAACTCTAATGCTATTGCAGATGCACAAGCATAACTGAAAGCACGATCCTGACAGCTGCAGTTCTCTTCAACTCTCCATAGCATCGTAAGTCCACCATCCTGATCTATAAAAATTTTCAAACCCCACAATACAAAACTACACAATATGCTAACATTTTTTTTTTTACCTTCTGCTTGAGCAATGTTCTCAAACTTATTCTTCTCTCATTTTTGTCTGTATCTCATCTCTGTTCCCCCTACTACAGAGCTCTCACTCAGACGTTCAGAAAATTTCAGCTTCCTTTGAAACTCCTAGACGACTCTTCACTACTACTATCTTTCTTGAACAGCCTCTAGCCGATCAGCTCTATTACGGAGCTCTTCAAAAGTCACGTTTTGGTCAGCCTCGAATTCTACAAAGATGCCCATTTCAGTCTGTTCCACAGAGATTTACTTTCTTGAAAAAGAATTAATACAACAGAGATATAGATCAGTAAATGAGCATCGTGAACTTACCCTACACTTTCCCTTTTCTTTTTACTCTTTCTTGTTAACGGTTTAAAAATACTTATTATTAACATCCAATAATACCAAGTTCCTAGAGACATTGTTACTTTACTCACTTAAGAGGTGGAACTGTGGCTCTGAATTCCTTTGCAAAATATTCATTTTTGCAGTATTTCCAGCAAAAAGAAAATACAATTCCTCTGGTAGCCTCTCCTCTTTTTAAAAAGTTTTGCTTTCTCCTTTTCAATCAGAGAGATGGCAGGAAAGTTTTGCCCTTGAAATTCATAACTGTCTTCCCTGCAGAGATGTGATGATGTGCTCATTGTATCACGTCTCCTGTCTGCAAATTTTTTAACTTGGGAAAGCTGAGAGCAGAAACTGCTATTTTTGCTCCTGGTTAGAGGCTGTAGAAGTAATGCAAACTCAAAAATACAGTCTCAAACACTGATGTTAACACTGTCACTTTATAACATGCTCGCCCAGGCTAACGTACATCCATAATTATTGCACTATGGCTGTCATAAGAAGTATCTGAAAAAAGAAATGGACACATATTATTAGTGAAAGCAATTCCCCACAAATTAACATGGCACTTACAGGTAACTAAATCATCAATTAGCTCTGTCATGTTAAATCAATAGGAAAAAAAATTGCCTTACTTTTCTAAGCTCTTTAATTTTTTTTTAATTTTATCACAAAAAAATCAAGGTTTATAAACTGCTCTTTGGAACCAAGTAAGCTTTTATTTGTCAAGAGACAAAAAGCAAGCTAAACATGGTATTGAAACAGAGCATAATGCTTGATCTACAAAGGATGTAACCTAATCTCTCAATCCAGAAATCAAGCTCTTCCAGGAAAAGTCTACATGAGCACATGTGTGAGTAAAGAGCAGTCAGCAAAACTGTTTTTTGTATCACACAAAAGTGAATGATAAGTGAGAAAACAAGGGTGACTATAAAAAGATCTTATGGTAACCATATAAACCACATTACAACAGTATTCATGAACGCTGAAGGGCAATGGGGTACAGCCTCCCTGTCAACATACTATTCTGCTGCACATACGGCCTGAGAGCAGGGCAGGACTTACAGGATTTGTGTATATAGTAGCTATAGTACCAGTACAGGGTTTTTTTGAGCCGTGTTACTGTAACTACATTGTTCATCTTATGCAAATAAGTTTATCAGTACATGCTTATGCTGATTTATGACAGTCTCCTAACAGAATCATAATTTTGACATCCTGTGACAGCTATTTGAGTAGCTACACAAAAGACTAGAAGTTGGTTTAAAATGTTTCAAGCTCAATATAAAATAAATAAATAAATAAAACTTTTATGAAGATCATTAGTTCATTTTACTGTCATTTCAATACTGTCTCTGTGTTTCAACCAAAATATTACACAAAATATTTACAAAGTAACTTCCTATTAAAAAGATGCTATCTGAAAGAGCTTGAAGAAATTTGTTACTGCATGAAAATTAATATGTGTACAGACACAAACACATACACCTAAAATGCACACACACAGGGACAAAGCTAAGGAGAAGATTTTAGGATGAGATTTCTGGCTTGTATGTGTTACTTACAGTTCATTGCAGAAAATCCTTCACCTTTAAAGTGAGATTGCCAATCCGCACCAAGGAGGCAAATAACTTCTTAAATTGAGTCATTTTTCACTAGATATATGCATATTATTTTTATCAAAGACTTAAGATAAGCTACTCCTTTAAGATAAGCATCTCAGGCTCATAAGGATATTAAAGCCTACAGTCTATGAACAGCACTTTAAAATGTGAGCATTTTACTGTATCAGAGACTTTATCTATATTGATTTTTTTTATTAAGTTACTCAGCATTGCAGCTACCAGTGTAAATTGTCCACAAACCACAGCTGGTGCTCAGCTTTCTTTGGCTATTAATTTTTCTTCATCAGTACCAAATATTAAGCACTTTAAATGTAATCTTCTAGGTAGAAAGCAGCAGCAATTAGAGATGTTACTTAGGCACTCCTTTAAAGCTGGATCAGAAAAAAAACATTTGTAACAACATTCAGAGTCTTTTAAGGGCAGTAGCAGTAGCTGTCTTCTAATGTGCCACACAGCTCAGAGTGAGGACACATTTTGTAGTCTCTAGTGATAAATAGGTACTTACCTCTCCAAGAGAGAAAAATAAAATCACTGATCAGGATGTACTGTAATTACAGCCATTCAGAAATATGTTATAGTTGACCATTTCCTCTAAACAATTCAAGAAAAAAATCCCCTAAAATTTACGGGGGGAGGAAAAAAAAATAAATGTAACAATTTAAATGGAAAGCCCACTATTAGCTTTAACTAAGGTTTTATAGCCACTATAACCCCTTTTATGCAATAAATAAACTAGGAACCAAAAATAACATGAAAATAATTGAATATGCCACAAGTTATCTAAACTAATTTCAGGACATCAAATGCCATGTAAATGTAATATCAAATATTATGAAGGCCATGCGTGGCATAACTGCCCAAGTTGTGATCCTTCTGGCGTGTAAATTGAGACACATAGCAAACAAATACTATACAAGTAATCTGGGTAATGCTTATTCAGTCATATCACTTACTGTAGGATCATGATGGTTTCCTGCCAGTGGCTCCACAGAAGCAATGAACACTCTCAGAGCTCGATCCCAAGACACTTACGAAATGAAGGATTGCACCCCTGGGAAGGACAAACTAACACATGGATGAGTCAAAGGCAGTCAGTCATCTGCACGTGAGCTCCTAAGGCAATGTGATAACCAAAAGGTTAACAGGACCAGTTTAACATGATAGAGAGTTCATGCTTAAGAAAAAGTTTCAAAATGTGCTATTTCTCAAAGTTAGAACGTTTTGATAATGCTGGCACAAAAAAAGCCTCTTCCATGTTGCCTCTTATTCTTTGCAGATCTAGGTGTGGTATTGCTGCCTGTTGAGAAGTGACCACAGTCTCCACAGTACTGATCATAATTTCCCCCAATTTATTTTAATTTAAGATGAAGACTGCTACATTGGACCCACTGAAATCAGCAGCAGAAATCCCACTGACTAATGGGGCCAGGATATCACAGCAGGGAATCTTCTTCGAGTCTGGACCATTGAAGTTTACTTAGATTATACAAAATGAGAAACAAAGAGTTTTAAATGATTTATTTGATTTCTCCACATGATCACAATTATAGTTTTACATCAATAGGGTCTGTAACTACTTACAAACAGAATGCATATTAAAATGAAAGCACTCCTTTCTTCCCCATAGTTACAAAAGGGGTCTCAAGCCTCCCCAGAACAGAAGCTTCTTGTAAGCATAATGTTTCTTGAAGTCTTTAACAGTCTGCATTCAAGACCTAATTCTAACTGTTTAATACAACTCGAAGCTGATTTAAGTTCCTAACAAGAGATAGGTATTGTAGGCAACTCAGAGTGACTGCAGACTTACAGTATTACTAATTTACACACTATGTACAATTTAGAGATCTATTCCCCCTGCTTGGTCCCATTTTCACCATGCCCTTTTCTCTTTCCCAAATTTAATCTTGTTATTGGTTCCACTTTTCTTTTAAATATATACACAATAATCCATTTTGCAGGCAAGAAGTGCGATGATATTTTACAATGGAACGGTAAAATGCATGCTTAACTGCAGAAAACACAGCTTCATATGGAACAGCAAGTCAACATCTAGAGATTCATTGTTTAAATATCTGCTGACTGTCTTTCAGCTCATTTTTTCAAGAAACAAGAGGCTTCTGCTGCATGCAGTACATGATGGGAAATCATTCTACACTGTATGTTAGACTTCTTTAGCAATACAAGACGTACATTATATTAGGATGAATTTTGTTTCTTTTTGTACGTTTGTTTTTACATTGTTGTACATTTCATTCTT